TATATATATAGGCCTATATAATAAGGCTTGTGCTGTTAATATATCCTCTACGCAACAATGAGGTTTGAAAATCTTTCTGTGCATTTCAGGAAATAATGGCCTTTCGCACGCATTTTTTCAGGAAATTAAGCTTAAGTTGATCTATCTCTTAATATATAAGCAATGTATTTGGCAGTACGATTCTGTGCACTTATTTTCCTAGGGATTTTTCCCGCAGAGATATATAATAATAATAATTCTGGATTTATATAGCTCCCCACGTTGACACAACCTCGAGGCGCTTAACAACAACAAAGAAGAAAAAAAAAACAAAAAACCAAAACAAATTCAAATGTACCAAAAAAATTATTATCAAATAATTGTTATACCTACCTACCGTAGTTTTTGCCTGCACATTTCAGTGTCTTTGCACTAATATAAGGGATATGTTCCAAACTTTCCATTTCTAGGACTTTCGAATTTGAATATAATTTTCTTCTGTTCTCCGTTTATTTTTAATATTGAAAAATCGAGGGGGTCTCAGGCTGCCCAAAAAAAAAAAAAAAAAAAAAAAAAAAAAAAAATTAAATTAACATTACTACAGTATGAATATATGTCATACAATACAATTGTAAACTTTGAATATCCTTTTTGGTCTGCAGGCTGCAGTGTATGGTTTTCTGAATGTTTTAAGCATTCTGATGAGTATTGCTCTGATGGTGTTTATGTCGATTGCTTCACCTGTGAGAGAAGGCTCATGGAATCAGACTTGCAGCAGCTATGATTGTAGGAATTCCTACAATAACTGTTGTATTGATTGGGTAGTATCCATGCCGGTATGAAACATTTTAATATCTTTTTCATTCTTTTCAATTCCGTCACAAGACAGACATATACGAGATGCTCTACATAGACTCATTACGTGACTTTACTGTTACCGTGACAGTAATTAATTAAAATTAAGATTGCTTTTTATTTTATTTCAGTGGGGAAAGATTGCAGTTGATGTGGCAATTCTGGTTGTTGCTGTTGTTGAATTGGTTGCCTCATTGCTGGCTACGACTCTGAGTTTCCGCAACACAAATTGGGTCAAAATTTGCTGTTTGAAAAAAAATATGGTACGTTGATGATTACATTTTTTATTTTGTGTTTCAAGGTACAGTGTCAGTTATATTTCTACAGACTAAAATACAGTATGAGTATTATTTTGTTCACTCTTCATATGAAGACAATATAGAGCAGAAGCCCTATTAGTGGGACACCTATTGTAAAAAGTGTTCTGAATAGGGGTATGTTCTAAATATGGACACCTCATTGGAGGAACACTAACCAAAGAAATTAGAAATTACCTTCCGTTTTTTTTTTAATTATAGGATGAACTGCAAGCTGTTTCAAACTCTGTTAAGAGAACAAGTGAGGACTTGACAGGTAAAATAATTTAATTATACAAAATTGTTGCAGACGATGAATTGATAACGAAGTCTCAGACAATGCTGTTATATATAATGTATTAACATTGTAGATGAAAGTTCACCACTGAGTGGCCAATCACCAGGTATGAAGCGATGCTGGAAGCCTTTTGAGAGCAAAGATCACCGCAAACTGACCATCACCCTAAGTGTAATCGATATCATCATCGGGGTTATCTGTGTTGTGATTGGAATCTTGGGGGTGTTTGTTGAGACCCGATTTGCACATGTTGGAATACCTATCTGGTCTGGATTACTGGTAAGGCAGTGATATATATGTCTTTTATACTGATAAAAGAAATTTGATTAACGAAATCAATAATGTATATTGTATAATTTTCTTATATAATTATTTACTATCTTGTGTGTGTTTATTTATATTAATATTTTACTCTTATTTCACTATTTTGTTTCGCAATTTAGCCTTGTACTACATGAACAAATTTATGTACATATTATATTGAATAAATAAATACCGAATAAACAAAATGATGTGGTGCTGTTTAGCCCCACTCCCTCTACACTCCTTCCATCAGACAAATCTATTGGAGTTTATTTCATATAGAAATCACAAATATAATTGGTACAACAGCCATTTAAGATAAAATATTTACATGTAGTATTTTGATTAATACAATACAGTATTATTATCAAAACATTTTTAATTTTTTCAGATATTTGCTGTGACCGGTATTTTTGGTCTGTTGAGTGTCACAAAGAAGGGGGAATATGTAAGTAAATACTCAATATTTTAATGTGACATAATGTGTTTTATGTGCTTTTTATGATAGCCTTCCTTGAATGTGCTTCATAATTAATGGCTGATCGTGAGACGGGATTGACCAAGAGATAAAAAAAAAGTTTAGTATTCTCCATTAAATGGAATATTTGTATATCTATTTTCTCTTAAAAACAAACAATCTGTATTGGAATTTCGCGAAGTGAATATAATTCCATATTTCAGTTGAATTGAGGGAAAATAATAACTTTACTGTCTTTATTTAGCTGATTTTGAGCACATTACATTGTTTACAGTGTCACGCATTGATTCCTGTGTTCTGACCAAGGAGGGTTTGACTCACTAAGGCCATGTAAAAGTTGTTGATCGTCCCCTTCCTACATAAAAAAATCACCCAACCAATTCTTTTTTTTTGCCAAAACTCATGAAAATATCGCCTTTCCGCCCATAATTCAACTTCGGTAGGCCTTTGGTGTGTGTGTGTAATTATTTTTTCTTTCACTTGTTTGTTCGTACAGGGAGTTGTTAGTGCGTATAAATTCCACCTGATCAAACACTACGCTGGAAGACCCGTCAAATTTAAATGTAGCATTGCTCTGTCCATGGGCGATTTAAAGACTTGACATGTATCAAGGGGATGGGTTCATGACAAATTAAAAAAAAAAAAAGGATCAACAACACTTTTTTTTAAACATGACCTAATTGAGTCATAAGTTGAAATTTTCAATGTGTTAGAATTTTTAGAGGTTAGATGTCCCTCTCCTCACTTTGTGTCAGCGAGGTTCAGACCTTTCACCTCTAGAGACCTTAAGAGTATATAAACATATAATAGTTGGAGCATATTAACAAAAAGTGACTAATCTATGTAGAAACTTCCTATTTCCTATATCTTCAACATGTCACAAATATACAATTTCTAAGAGAAATGTACAGTACTTAGTAAGGCCCTATAAACTAATCGCCTTACTTCATCCTACCTAAACATATACCGGTACACATTCATTTTTTATACAGGTAAGAACCAGTAAACACTTTTTTTGCCAATTTCAAGCTCAAAATTTTCTTATTTTGTTCTTATTTTTACACACTTTTCAAACACAGAAAATTATTATTTTACAGCAGTAAATTACTGTACTGTAATCAAGAGTATTGTATAGTATACATCACACCTGTCACACATAAGGTACACATAAATTTGTTATTTTTTTCTATTAAAAAAAAAACAAACCTCAGTTGACATTTTGTTTCAGCCTCAATTTATTCTTATTTTGTTCTTAATTATAAGGCAATTTTAACCTCAGTGTTCTTATAAAAAAAAAAAGTGTACCCTATCATATTTTAACACAAATATGACTATCAAAATTAAGCATGGACACAGTAACGTTCACATTTACATATGAGTTATCTAGGTAAAATACGGTAACCTGGACGTTAGGGGTATAGGCGTGATATTTTTCTTCAGAATTTGTGTGTATTTCCGTCTGTAATTAGGCCAATCTTCTTTTAGTGGTCATGATTTTTTTGTTCTATTTTATCAAAACTAATCGCGATGTTTTACATACAGGGTAAGCGAGCGCACCCTCTAGTTAATCACGACAACGGCGATGACGCGACGGCGGAGATGACAACGACAATAGCGAGCTTTCGAAATGGGCGACGCGGGGAGCTGCGACGGGGAATTCAGTCAACCATGAACGTCCTACTATGCACTTCCCGTCTCAACATCAAAGCTGTTTCGATTTACAGGACGACGCGCTCCCTCGTATCGCGTGATCAATTATGCAGGCGCCCCCAGCGAGCGCGTATTTATAAAACTCACGTTGCCGTAGTCAGCACAACGCCAAATCGCTTAATGCCCGTTGTCAAATCCACACAACGAACGACTTCCACATGTATGAACCTTAACTACGGTAACTGGAACACCACTGTCAATCAGGACCCTAAAATACAGTCCAGTGATCCAGGTGATCAAACGCTTTAGATGCATCAAGGAAACAGCAATAAACGGGGCTACCATGATTTTGATAATACTGTACAACTTGTTTTAAAACAAAAATACAAAGATCAATTGAATGGCCGGGTTTAAAAGCAATTTGACAATCGTCAGTGTAAAGTGAATCACCACAGAAATTAATAAGTATTGACTCTACGTCACACTACCAGATTTGCACTTGACAATTGGTACCAACGTGAACACTGCTTGGGATTTACCCAAGATCTTGGGTATTTTGACTTGGTCTTGGTTTCTTGGGTACTTCTGTTCAAATACTGATAATTGATAACACTAAGATGTGTATAAGAGACAGGTGTACATGAATGATTTTGGAAGGAAAAAGCTATGACGTGTGTGGCTGAACCGTGTTCGGTTGGTTGAATTATATTAGGAAAAGAAAACAATCAACAACTGTCGATCAATAGTTGACTCATAAAAAACGGACTTATTGTTAGTCAACTGTAATATAATTAAAATCAAACTGTCAATGGAACAATATTATCAAAACCAATTATGTGAATAGTGGTTTAGGCAGCGAGTAACGCGTAACACCCCTGAGCTGTCGAGAGCGAATGGACAAAACGCGATAAAAGACATCTTGCAATTTTACATATTACTGTAATGTTTTATCACTTTTTTTCAGATTCCCTGTTTCTTTTCGCTTTCCATTCTAGCATTGCTGATGTCTATAAACATGTTGTCATGGGCTTCTGATAACATACAACATGGGTACTACGACTACAGGAGAGGCTGTATTGACTGGAGTTGCAACATCACCACACCAACAATTTCTCCCTACGATCGCAACAATACACTAAGAACCCCTCAACCTCATTGTTATGATTGTTTGCCTGGTTGTTGTCAAAATGGCAACATTTACAAGGCTGACAAAACCAATAAGGTATATGGGTCACTTAATGTTTCCATGGAAGCCACAATAATCCTGTTAAAAATACAAACATTCTGTTCTTGTATTTCTAGCTGTCAATCTGCATATAATCGGCAAATCAATTTTTCTCTAATCCCTCAATTTTATTAGGATAAATTGTTTTTTTTTTTTTAGTTAAAAATAAATCACAGATATCAAAGCAAGATATTAATAATAATAATAATAATAATAATAATAAAAATAATAATAATAATAATGATAATAACTTGACTTACTATGTTTGTTTGTAAAACATAACATAGGGCTTTCCTCATTGTCATAATGAGAAGGGATGGTGAAATTACAAAAAAAAAATGCATTTAAAAAAATCTAGCGAGAATAATGAAGTTAAAACACATGAAAACCAACTCTAAATATGACTTCTATTAATATTCAAAATGTGTAGAAAACAAAAGAAGATTTAAGCACAAAAAGTGACCGAAGTGCCGGTCAGAAAACATGGGAAAACTACGGAGCCCATAAAGGAACATGGTTATAAAAAGATTAAAGTTCTGGATGTTTTTTTAGCAGCAGCTAGCTCCAATCAGTGAATCTTGAATGTTATATTTCTTGAATATCTAAAAGTATTATACTTCTTTTAAATATTCTAAAACAGGTGTTGCTGGACTCGTTCACTGTGGGATTTGGAGTTTTGGAAATGTTAATCTGCATGGTAACTATAGGCCTTTCTTTCTCTCAATTGAGTTGTTACGTATGTTGCCGCTGCAATTGTTGCCCACGTGTCAAGGTAGGTTCATATTAAACTAAGAAATATAATAGAGTTAATAAGGATAATAATTAAAACAAGACTTAAAAAGCACTATTATTACAGTACTAGTAAGTGCACTTACCAACTGCAAGCAATGCCTAAGATGCTCAACTATATGCATATTTTTATTTAGAAGGTATAAGTAATGATGATAGGCCTATAGGGAGTTTTCGATGCACGACGTTAACCTTAACTTTAACGTTAGTACCCAATATGCAGTGCGATAGCTCCGCCCCTTTTTTAAACAAATCGAAATACGCATGCGCAAACCCGTAACTAACGTACTCCGCAACGCAATATGAATAAATTATGACGTTATCCGTTAAAGTTAAGGTTAACGTCGTGCATCGAAATTCCCTATTGATTGCTGTAGATTAGATTAGATTTGGTGATGACGATAATGTTGATGTAGAGAACTTCATAACAATGTACCGTACTCGAGCGAATAAGCGCCCCGTTTGAATAAGCGCCCCTCTTAACGTTAACATTTTCTTAAGTGCCCAGTTTGAATAAGCGCCCCTCGATTCTTAAAAAAAATCAATCATACTCTACAGTAAGCCTACAGTACATCACTCACTTAAATTTCTGACCGATGTCTCAACTATTCGCATCTCAGCATTGTAGGTCGGTCTATCCGTCCATCCATCTGCCGGCCGATCAATCTCCATGAAGTTTAAGATGGTGTTCAGTTTTGTGCATCATTAGAATCATGTTCTTGTTCTATTGCTACCCTGTACATCATCTTGGATTTAGAACTATATTTTGATATCTAAAAATTAAAATACTTTATGGCCATATACAGAGTTTTTTTTTAGTTAAAAAAAATAAACTGACCTCAACACTCTCACTTGCAAAAATCTTGAATATATTTATTCATATTTAAAACAATATCATGTGATTGGTTTTTAGCAAGCTAATAAACTAATCAATTCTGGGACAGTGTTGGGCATGATTTGAGCTGCGGAGTGAATTCACATTTTCTTCTTGTGTCAATTCAAATGGGTTAGTCTCATGGACAGGTGAGAGCTCCCTGGACAGTATATTTCGAACTTTCCTCGCATTACATTTGGCAATGAATCGGTCGGAAAAAACTGGACCTACTTCTCTTTTTCTTTTACAATTTGCACCTTTATCATGTTCTTACCTAAGTTTGCAAGAAACCCTGCCATACCAGCTCCACCACTCATTTCATCTGGACGATTATCTTTTCTGCACCAGAACCATTCGTTTTTTTTCGGTTTTCAGATACTCCTATTCATTCATTTCTCCTTCTCCTCCAATATTCATAAAAAGAGAAGACGTTATATTAGTGTTAGCTCTGATGCAGAGGGTGTTTTACTGTTTCTCAAAATCAAAATCATCATCCAGTAAATTAAAAATCACATGACCTAGGTACGTTATTGACTCAAAAAGTTTTAGATTAGAAACATTTAATATAATACTGCAAAACTTGCAATTTTCGTGTTCGTAAACATAAACGCATAAACTTAAATTTGTTAAGAGTAATACAATCTCGATCAATTGCAAATACCTCACAAACATTTGAGATTCTGAAGTCTAACAACAGAGGGAGCTATTAGGGCCGTGCCATCAGCATACAAGACAATTAATAGAGACATCATCAATAGAAAAACCATCATTAGTCATTCTGATTTGCAGAGTAACTAGATCATCAATATATAAATCGCATAACAGTGGGGACATAAAACCTTCCGGAAGTACCATTGGTAACAGAAAATGGCAAAGAAACCATTTCCCCACCTAACAAAAAAATTCTTGATTGCCATACCAAATTCTTAGAACCTTAACTACGGTAACTGGAACACCACTGTCAATCAGGACCCTAAAATATAGTCCAGTGATCCAGGTGATCAAACGCTTTAGATGCATCAAGGAAACAGCAATAAACGGGGCTACCATGATTTTGATAATACTGTACAACTTGTTTTAAAACAAAAATACAAAGATCAATTGAATGGCCGGGTTTAAAAGCAATTTGACAATCGTCAGTGTTAAGTGAATCACCACAGAAATTAATAAGTATTGACTCTACGTCACACCACCAGATTTGCACTTGACAATTGGTACCAACGTGAACACTGCTTGGGATTTACCCAAGATCTTGGGTATTTTGACTTGGTCTTGGGTTCTTGGGTACTTCCGTTCAAATACTGATAACTGATAACACTACTGGCCGACTGAGGGCGTAATTTTCTATCCGTATTATCACCTCATGAATATTAATTTTAATAATTAACACAAACAATTACAATAAAAATGGTTGATAGAATGAACTAAAAGGGAAACTATACATGTGAAAAACACGTTTTTTCAAATTTTAATGCATTTTTTTGGAAGCTTGGGTAATTTTGGGCAATTTTTGTTGAATCTTGGGCAATTTTTGTTGAATCTTGGCCAATTTCGACCCAGTCATTGGGTATAACAAAAATTGTGAGTGGTCACGTTGATTGGTACAAGTACAACCTTGTAGCACGGCTCAATCATCACTGTCAACAAGTTTCTGCTGGGCGTCATTAGTAGGTGTATGCGAAGATGCACCATGGATTTTCGATGCTGGATTCCGATTTTTCACTAGGTCAACACGATGGGCCCGGGTCAAAACAGCGTCATTATAAAAATAATAATATGTCGTTTATATATATGCGCCTAATGCCTTAACTACAGCATGGTTTGTTCCAAATCGTCATTGTGGTACATTGATAAAATATCAATGTTAAATGTTAAATGTGTTTTATATAGAATTTTATTATGTTTAAAGGATTATTATATAATCTAAAGGACTTAATTAAAGTACATTAAATTAGACTCGTAACACTCTTCCTCAAAGTTTAGCCCACCCACTTTTTCTACTGGGGGCCCTGTCCCCACTTTTGTGACTGTTCCCAGCACCAGTGACAAACATTCTGTACTTAGGCATATGATGGGATTGGGGGTTGGGGTAGGCACTATTAATGGAGCGACTCTCTACATCTTCGTGCTAACCACGAAGATGTAGGCCTATAGTAAGTGTAACGGATTGACTTACTGTAAACCTTCAAACACACATTTAAACTCCATCTAATTTAACGAAAACAATAAGATAAGTAATTAGGCCATTTTTGAAAATAAAGTTCTCTGAAGGTTAACTACAGAATTTACAGTACACTGTAGTTAATAATGTTATAAGTTGTAAAAACTGTATTGAGTAAAAAAAATCTTTCGAATAAAAATATCTTTCGCTTGACATTAGGAATTAATCATTTGTTATACAAAATTATAGGCTATGTCAAGTGTTATATTGAACAGTGGTAGATTTAAGGGGGAACCCTGTCAGCACGGCCCCCAACCTCCTAATTTATTTTTTTAAATTATAAAAAAAAATGGAGAAAACAGACAAAATTGTTTTCAACTTTTAATCTGAGAGTGCCATTTCCGGCCATCTGGAGTCTGGAGGTGCCATAATCATATTTTTTTCTTACCTCAGCTCCAACAGTTGTGCGGATGAGGTGGGTGCAGGCGCGGATCCAGGATTTCCCCTGACCTTCGCTTAGATGGGGTGGTCCTTGCAGTGGTGGATCAAGAAATTCGAAATAGAGAGTGCCCAGAGAGGGACCTTCACAGATAGATACCTCAGCAAGAAAAAATAAGATTACGTCGCCTAAAGATGGAAATGGCACTCCCAGGATTTGAATATAACTTTCAATTTTTCTCCATTTTAACAATAATTTTCAAACATTTACGGGGGCCCGTCCGACTAGCTTCCCCTTGAATCCGCCACTCTATGGGGGAATCTGGGGGCGGATGCAGAATTTGGAGGTAGGGGGTGCATGAGAATCCACACGATCTCAGGCCCACTATGGTTGCAGTGTCGAATCCAGAAATTTTGAAGGGTTGGCACATTGCTAATATGTTACGTCCTCGCCCCACCTCAACCCCACCATGGTTGGGGCTGAGGTGAGGAAATTTTAAGAATGACACCCCTGTGCTCGCAAATGGCACTCTCAGAGATGGTAAAAAGAGGCTGTCGTAGAACTAGTGGTACTATGGCCCGTTTTTGTAAGATTTTGTCAGAGCAATCGAGTTTTCTATTAAAATATTACCCAAAGTTAAGATTAGTTGCTGCTCACCACCCCACCAATTTTAAAGCTTGTTCTTGCTAGACACACATTCTTTCCAAGTATCACTCAATATAAATACTTCTAATTTATGTAAATATGCATCAGCACACGTTATACATGAGCCTACTATAATAACACATAGACCTAAGCGTGATTTAAAAAAATCTGAAATCCGTAAGTCCCAGGCCAGGTCTTTCAGATACAGAAATGTGATATTGTATGGTTCAGTTTGGTTTTTATCGTTTTGCAAGCTCCATAAAGTTTTGTCAACCTTTAAGAAAATTGGTACAGGTTTTTCATATTTTTGCATAAAATTGGTCCACTTTTAGGAAAATGGGTCCACATTATTTGAATTTACGCGTAAAGAGGGTCCACAATGACATTGTTCCGCACTGTTTGAAAATCCTTTCTACATGCATTGTATATAACAGTGATGTGATGATGATGAATTTTACAAAAAATATCATTTTCTGGTCATCTAGAGGTACTGTACTATTTCCACATTACACTCCATGCCCATTTTTGTGATTATGACTATTTTGGATAAAGAATGTTTTGAGCAGGTGGATTGAAGGCCCCCTCCACTTAAATTTTTTTAATGGAAAAAAAAGAAGAAAAATATAGGCCCCACTTTCCAAATTTATGTCTGAGAGTGTAATTTCCGGGCTTCTAAAGGTGCCCTAATCATACATTTTCCTCAGCCCAGACCATGGTGGTGCTGAGGTGGGTGGTTCCTCAATCTGTAAAAGTCCCTCCCTGGGTCACCTCTCTACGTACCTCGCACAACGGCTCCCCCACCCCCTTTTCAAAATCCTGGCTATGTCCCTGCTGAGCGCCCCACCCTTCAGAGGTTAAAAAAAATAAAGTGCCCCTTAAATGCTAAGAAATAACCGACATAAATTTTAATTATTAAAGTGCCATTCCACAATTCGTAACATTTTCTCACCTCGGCCTAAACCGATGGAGCTCAGGTGGATATAGTAACTTTACTAGTTCTTGTATTAAAGTGCCATTTTCTGGCATCTAAAAGTCCCCAATTCTGAACATGTTCTCACCTCAGCCTCATCCATAATGGGGATATATGGATACAGTAGGCCTAATTTTTGTAGTTTCATGTATGAAAGTGCCATTTTCCGGCATTTAAAAGTCCAATTCTTACATTTGTTTTACCTCAGCTTCAACCATGGTGGGCTGAGGTGGATGGATTGGTAGTTTCCATCAATTTTAAGTATCCAAGTGCCGTTTTTGGGGCATTTATACTAGTCAAATTCTTCTGCGCCATCTTGAGGTGCCATAATTACAAATTGTCTTACCTCAGCCCCAACCATGGTGGGGCTGAGGTGTATACATGCTCCATCTGCTAAAGTACCCAGTGGGAAATTCAAGGGGACCCAGCCGGCCCGCCCCCGTCCCTAAATTGTTATATAAAGATAATTATATTCAAATTGTGTCTGGAAGTGCAACGTTGCTGTAGTACGCACTATTACACGTACAGTACGATACAATGAATGTACATGATAAAACTCTTTTGATAGACATTTGACAAATACAAATTTCTTAAAGCAAAATTACTAACTTTTGAAACATTTATTCTTCAAAATGACAAAAACACAAAACATGACAGTCGTACATAGAGAAAGGACCTACACAAAAACGAAAAAATAACAACCAATTATACAAATGGCTTAATATACTATAATATAAATAACTTCACATGCTTAGAAAATCAAAGGCCTACCGAAAATTGCTGATAAATATGTGTTAACAATCAATCCTTTGCCACGGTTATTTCAAATTTCCCGAAAATGGTCTATAAAATCAGTGGTCTTATTAGTTGCCACTCATTATATTGACTTTTCTGTCATTAATTAAAAATGTTCTTCTGCTTGCAAATTGAATTTTACAAACTCATTAAAACTTTTATTTGATGGTCTCACAGAACAACATCTGGGTTTATAAATGTAAAATTTAACTATAAAAATTAGATATTAATATTTTTTTTAAAGTTTATAACTGCAATCATAAAATAGATGCGTCATGGTTTCTCTATTCCCCACAAATCAGTCTGTGCTCACATGTAAAATCGTTTGATTTCATCTAGTCTAGGTTACGGTCTAGTTGCGGCGGCCACCTGCTACAGCTAAGTTCGTTTCTTGAGCCTTTAAAATAGGTGTAGGATATTCCTATAAAATAATGTTCTGTATCTTTTGTTCATTAAGTTCATTGATTCAAAGAATTCCTTAATTTTCCATACACTATATTAAATTTTAAGTGACTTTCTGTGTTTTCCTTGTACAATTTGTTTCCACATTTTGCACACGAACAGTAAAGTAAACAGTGCACTAACGAAAGAATTAGTACACGTTTTGGGACAGGAAAATAACACTGGGAGTAAGGGTGATGACGTCACGATTGACTTATATATTAAATTAAGGCTCAAATCTGTAGCTAGACTTATTGATCAGGGAAGGGCAGCAGTGTAGGTAGGTGAGGACGAGCCCTAGGGCAGAATTAATTGCCAGGCCTTTTGATGTGAAGCGTCAACCGATGGAGGGTGCAGACTAACCTTGGTGGGGCTAAGGCAGGGAAATTTTGATTATGACACCTCTCGGTGGCCGGAAATGCAAATTACAGATTTAAATTCAAATATATAACTTTCTTTTTCTTCCAAATTCTTAAATATAATTTTGAACGATTCCGGTGGGTTGGGGGCACTGGGGCACCTTGATTTTTTTTTTCTTCAAAAAGATTAAGTTGGAAATTATTTTTAAGTATCATTATTAGGCCTATTTATGAATGGGCTCCTAAAAGCCCTCGGCCCCAGTACTTTGCACAGGCTGCACTGCCCATCTCTATGCTAGTGGGGAAGGGTGATTACAATTCTGAGGACAGCAAATCCACACCCAACCTTTGCTACATGATGGTTTAAACTATTATTTATTATTGTAGAAGCCAGGGTCCCCAAAGTTAAGAGGCCTGTTATATTTATCAGCATTTTTTTGGTACCAGGACAAATGGCTCAAAATCAGCCCAGCAGGTACCCGTAATAAGCAGGACGAGTAAAAAAAAAAAAAAACAATCAAAACTTCAAAAGGCCAAGCGAACTGAGCTTCACCCAGTACTAAGTCCACATATTAAAAATCATTTCATGATCATACAATTAGCAGTACAAAAAATAATGATAGATTGGTATACTTTTTAGTATTTCACCATTCAAAAGTGTGACATGACAAAAATGCCTAAAATTTGATGTAGTAGGCTTATATTTTTTTTAATTGTATTACAAGGACTGAGCTCAATTATGTTACTATAAGAAGTATATTGGAAAAAAATATATATAAAAAAAGAAAACTGTGTAATTTTATATGTTTATCCATATTTATATAGTAAGAAAATATTAAAAAATTGGTAATCTTGCATTTTATATTAGTTGCAGCTATTATTAAAGGTTATTGGCCCATATATAAATCAAGAATCTGTCTATAAGGGAAAAGGATTTGTAGTGTATCAAAATACAAAATGCGTATTTCTTTTGGAAAGACAATTTGATTATCTTATCGCAACCCTTTTTCAAAAACATTGGTATCATATCTTTTGTTCCACATAGTTGGGCCTAAATCCTCTGTATTCTATTTTCCATGAAAATATCAACATAATATCGCGTCCATTTACTGTGAACATGCCCAGACATATAATAACCCTTTAAACATAAAAAAAAGTCTATATAAAAATATTTAACATTGATATTTTATCATGTACCACATCATCCACAAAAACTTACGATTTAGAACACAACATATTGCTTTTAAAGCAATTTAATTACAAAGCTACAATTTTAAAACTCTGTGTAGTAATACTTACCTTTTTTATAATTTTAAATAGCAGTGAAATGTATACTGAGTATATATTAGACTAAGAAATATATCCCTTTGATGAGCAACATGTATATTGCAGATAATTTTGAATACAATTATAAAATTGTAATAATAATAATAATTTCCAATTATTATTATTTTGTATATACATAAATCAGATTACATTGCAGTTGACTCATCATGTTTATATTCCTCCTAACATCTAGTGTTGTTCATACTATAGTTATTTAGATTATACCCTTTCATAAAGCAAATGCTTTAAAACCAACACAACCGTGTAGCTATTTTTGTGCAGTTTACAATTACAAAAATTGGAAATTTACACAGTCGGGTTTAAGATGCTGCCAGCATCTTGTCCAGCTAACAATGCCATTGCTTCTCCAGTGTCAGCAGGTTCTCCAGTAGCTTGTATTTGTTGCTCAGGTCTTGGTATCTGAGCTTGGGTCACCGTATGAAGAGTTTGACCCTGTCCAGGAATCATAACTGTCTGATTGGTTGGCTGTACCTGTCCTGGAACCATACCTACTTGCCCCATACCTTGCACAAACATTGGCTGTTGAAACATTGGTTGCCCCTGACCTTGATGTACCATCATTGGCTGCCACTGAGCTTGGATGGCCATTGGTTGCCTCTGATCTTGATGTACCATCATTGGTTGCCCCTGAGCTTGGAGCAACATTGGTGGTCCCTGTCCACCTACCATCATTAGATGGCCAGGACCCAGGGCCAACAATGGTTGCCCCTGAGCCTGGACTGTTACTGGTTGTAGTGCACCATGCACTTGTTCTCCAGTTCCAGCAAGTTCTCCAGTTGCAAAAGTTGGTGGAGATTGAGTCCCTACTAGTTGGTTCTGAGCAGCAATATGTTGGTTCAGAATCATTACTGGTTGGTGCTGCACCATCACTGGCTGGTTCTGTTGGTTATTTACCATTGTTGGCACACCATGTGCTTTTGGTACAGCTAACAACATCAGATTACCATTGGGGGTCATAACCATCTGGTATTGGTGAATAGTCTTAAAACAAAATGACATAAGATATGTATTCTGTAAATGCACTTGTTGATGGGCCACTAATGACCACCAGGCCACAACCACTACTCCCCCCCCCCCCCCGTTTAAACAATACAATTTTACCAGGTTCTCTAAATCACCATCTGCATCATCACCAAATCTACAGCAATCATCACTATTATCATAACTTATCTGCTAAATATAGCAATCTGTAGGCCTATATTGAGCATCTTAGGCATTGCTTGCAGTCAGTAGATGTACTTACTAACAAAAATACTGAATACTATAATACTTTATGTTCATCACCTCTATTATCTTTCAGAATAATTAGGAACCTACCTTAGGTTGACAACAGTTGCATTTTAAGCCCCTGCAACATAGGTAACAAGTCAATTGAGAAAATGAAAGGCCTATGGTTACCATGCAGATTAACGTTTCCAAAACTCCAAATCCCACAGTGAGCGAGTCCACCAAAACCTGTTTAAAGAAAATATAAATCTTTTAGACATTCAAGATATTTAACAAAAGTAATAACAATAATACTTAACAATCACAAACTGGAGCTAGCTGTTGTTAGTACAACATCCAACACTTCTATAACTTTTTTTCTAAATGAAATAAATAACAGTGCAGAATACTTCACAAATGGGATATCAGTGGGAGATTCAGGAATTTGAAATACTGTAGAGGGTGTCTAGGGAGGGACTTTGAGGTACGGAGGGTGTAGATCACCTGAATCACACCATGGTTGGGGCTGAGGTAAGAAAATTTATGATTATGGAGCCCCTAGATGGCCAAATATGGCACCATCAGTTTTAAAATATAATTTTCTTTTTTTATTCTCCATTTAAAAAAAAAACAATTGAAAAACGTGGGGTAAGACGGCAGCCTCAAACTCTCCCCCCTCCCTTCTTGATATGAAATTGTAAATATTTTTTGCTAGCAGAAAATGGTGGGCCAATCTTCTTATAATATCACTGAATTTGAATGAATTGCTAAGCATCTTAAATTACTGCTATTTGGTAAAGAGCTCGAAACATCTTATTTAATTTTATTATCCGGACTTACAGCAAGGAGGACGCAGTGAGTCCATCTACGGGAAGCGGGAAAGAATGGGAGGAAATAAAGCAGTGGAGAACCAAACGTATTAAGTGATTCATACCTTATTTGTTGTGTTCTTCTCTATATAAGTGTAGCCATTTTCACAGCAACCAGGCACACAATCGTAACAATAATTAGGATATTCTGTATAGTAGGAGTAGGGATAGAATGGATAGTAGCTCATGTAAGTAGTTGGTGTTGTTTTAGTTTTGCAACTCCAATCGATACAGCCATATATGGAATCGTGATCACTATACCCTTCCGATATATTAACAGAAGCCCATGTGAACATGTTAATAGACATCAGAAATGCTAGAATTGAAAGCGAAAAGAAACAGGGAATCTGAAATGAAAAGTGAGAAATTATTAGACTACTTTCGTGAAACACAGATGTGTATTATTTGTCGTTTATCCGATTTGTCCATTCAAAAAACAACAGTGAAGGAAACTTCCATTAACATTTGGATTCCTGGTCTTTTATAAACTGGGACAATGGAGCTTTTCCCCTGAAAGCACACTGGTCTGTCTCTAGGATATTACAGTGCTTTCGTTACACAGAAACTTGGGGCCCCTGCTGGGCCACTTATTGTATGGCCAGGGAGTTGTTATTTAAGTTGTTTATCTAAATAACAACTCCATGGCAAGGCAGGCCTAGATCCGTGGTAGAATCACCTTGTTTATCCTCCATGTTACAATATTTTGCATTCAGCGCCGACCTCATTCAATGAGATGGCTGTCAGTTGAGTAAATAAATTTCAACAAATTAACAAAATGAGAAATCACATGGGAATGGATGGGGCCCCAATTTTTCGCCGCGAAGATTTGGAACTTGAAGAATTGGCGCATAAAACATACTTTTTCTTTCAAGTAAGCTTCAGTTATTTAACAACAATACTAAAACAATCATAGTTAATAGGTTTTGGTACTAAGCAGTCTTCCGAAAAATGAAGTTTATTTTAATATCGATCCCGAAATACATGTAGGTCTAGGCTCTATCTGCACTGCAGGGTATTTGTGTTGTGTTGATCTTGCAAGTTGCAATTATTATGTTACTAAAACATTATATTAAAAATAAGTCAGTCTCTTATGATCAGACAAGTCCTGGAAGAGGTAGAGGTTTGAATTAAATTATTATATACTTTGACCATTTGTAGAGCTGTAATGTTCCTGAATCATTGACAATTTATGCATGGAATATTTAAATACTCTGCATACCTCATAATGCTAAAATACATTGAAGATTAAATTAATAATTAATCTACTAGAAATTATCACTATCAAAAGTGTGACATTGTGTCATATCTGTATATCAATGAGAAAATAAAGATTATTAACTGTACACTACAGTATTTCAATTATGCTTGTTTCAGACATTATTATGCAGCCACGTCTTTGGTTAATTTGTAAATATTAGGAATTTATTTTATTTACATCAGTTATTCGTCAAAGAAAATTTGATAGTTTAAACAGAACTTTATAGAACAAAAACAAATAGCGAGATAGCTCCAGGCTAGTATTAAACTGTCTATGATTATCCGCCATTAAACGTCCGACAACCCAACATTATAATTGGCGCCCCCCTCCCCCTAATTTGGGTTGCAAAAAATACAGTAGTTTGAATACCAGGATATTACACAGTAATCAATGAAAGCAGTTCAGTACTTGGGTCTAAGTTTTGCTGGCATTCAATACAATACATATTTTAGTGACCAGCTGTTGATGCATTTGCTTTACTCTTGCTGTTTATCTCTTTGTCAATCCAGTCTTAGGATTGGATTTATTCGGTGTAAACATCAAGGATAGCCCACGAAAGTCTAGAAAAAGACTTATTTCCAGTGGGGTCCTTCTGGTGGTGATTGGGCAGTACACCGGGAGACAATCCCCTATTCTTTTCCGAAGAGTGTACTGCGTTCTTTAACGTGCACATGGGCCATAATGCACATGGGACCAATGCCTTAAACGTCTATTGTAACTTGTATTTCAGCCTTCTAGCTGAAACACAAGGAGAGGCAGCGATGGGAATTGAACGAACCGGGGACCTAGAGATCTCCACGGTTCAGCGCACACACAGCGGCTACCACCAGATTAGCCGACTGAGCTAAGCTGCTCTCTCTACATTACATTATATTAGTTCTTAATTACAGTATGAAGCACATTCAACAAAGGCTGTCATAAAAAAAATCGTATAAACCAATGTCACATACAAATATCTATCTATCTGTCTATTTACTTACATACGACCCCTTCTTTGTGACACTCAACAGACCAAAAATACCAGTCACTGTAAATATCTGTTAAAAAATGGAAAATGTTTAAATTAAAATACTGTACTTGAATGACTTTTAGTTGTTGAAACTGAATCCTGATATTTATGGTTACAACTGTAAAAAATTCCAATAGATTAGTCTGATAGGAAGGTGGGTGGGGTGAGGGAGGGGAGACGAAGTGGAGGGCTCCGACAAATTTTGGTAGGGACTGGGGTGAAGCCATAGTGGAAGTCTACCGGGCACAACCCGGAGAAGAGAAACAACAATGCAGGTAATAAAAATAGATCCACATTATTCCTCTTTCAGTGGCGCCAGGATTTGCCCAATGGAGGCTGAAAATTAGATTTTGTCTGATGTCACAGACATCGCCCAAAATCTCTTGGAATAGGACTGACAATTTAGGGGTGTCAAAGGTTAATTTATTCGATTTTAAAGTCTACTAATAAGTAAAATATACATTTTTTTTTTTGACGAATGTTGTTTTTTTCCCTGGTTGGGGGGGGGGAACCCCTGGCTGGTTCAACCCCCATCTGAACAGCATTTCCACTATATTTGTAAAATGTTCTAAACCACCTGTTTATGGTTTGAGTGCTTAGTTTTTTTCAAGACTTAATTCGCTGCCTTACCAGTAATCCAGTCCAGATAGGTATTCCGACATGTGCAAATCGGGTCTCAACAAACACCGCCAAGATTCCAAACGCAACACTGATGACCCCGATGATGATATCGATCACACTTAGGGTGATGGTGAGATTGCGGTGACATTTGCTCTCACAAGGTTTCCAGCATCGCTTCATGGCTGGTGACTGGCCACTCAGTGGTGAACTTTCATCTACAATGTTAATTAAATATAATGGCAATTTTTAAGATTTTGTTATTCATTCGTTGGTCTGCATCAACTTTGTATGATCAAATTAAAATGTTACCTGTCAAATTGGCACTAGTTCTCTGAACAGAGTTTGAAACAGCTTGATGTTCATCCTAAAATGAGAAACAAACATGAGGTAATGTTCCAAGTTCTTGTGCTGAAGACCAAGATTCAAATGTGGCTAGCCTCAAGTTTTAACTGGAGTTGATCACTTGACTCTTCGGATAATTCTCGCCTAAGTTAGGATAGGGAACACGTAGCAGTGGCCTATCTAGAAGTCTTGAAATGGGGGTATGATGGGGAGCGCGAAGGTGAAGTAGGGGGCTCGATATCAGTTGAGGGGCGCTAATTTGCAAAATAAGGTGATTTTTAACTACTTGACCGTGATTTTTTTTTTGGGGAGGGGGCGGCTGGGGGTGTGCGAGTAATGTTTTGGGGTGCATGCTTTCCCTGTAGATATGCCACTGACACATAGATTTGCGCCACACTATGGCCGCCAAAGGCACCCAGGGCCAAGCCAAAATTTAAAAATCCAAATTAATGAAAAAAATGAAATAAAAATATGTTAAAATGTTTTATTTTATTTGCAATTTTATTTGCATAGAGAGTTGACAGGTTCGTAAATCTATTGTTTGCCAATTAAACTAAAAAAAAAAAAAAAAAAATCAACATCATTTTTAAGTTGTAAGAATGTGTTTAATGGCCCCTAAATCCATGCTTCCCAAAATATAGGTTACAACCCAGAAGTGGTTCTTCAAACTTCTGCATTTGGTTGCGAGTACTGTAGGTTTGTAAAAAAATCATATGCGCTAATTTACATGTGAGTAAAGTCTTTAACACACCTGACAGCTTGAAAACACTATTTTAAGCGAACCCTCATTAGAACAATATTTTATTATATGCGCACAATGAATATCTTATATCTATACCATAACATGATTGTGTAAATCTAAAAATTTCACTGTTTAAAAACAAGTAAAACTTTAAAACTGAAACGCTGTCGTGTAATTTTTAGGGTCGGATCCAGATATGTCCAAAAGGGGGACCCCCGAAAGGGAGCTGATAGACACAACACTACCCTAGGGAATCCAGGGGAATTTCCTTGCGAAATTTTTGTTTTTTAGGTGCCCAAAAATAAACTCTGAGGTATCTTTGGCGATCAATTGTTTCTTTTTCTTTTTTTATTTCCAAAAGGTGTGAGGGGCCACCCCCAAATCCGCTCCTGATTTTAGGCCTAAGAGTAGCAATTAAATATCCCCAGATATTCTGGTTGGTCACCACAGGGCTAAAATTAAGTTTATGAAATATATTATTTAAAGATTAAGAACACTTTCTGCAAAATGTCCGATCCTATATTTTCGGGATTTTAGAGCAGTCAGGCTTGGGCCAGACAAATTTTTTTAACACTGTGCCTGAGGTGGGTATACCATCTATCTGTTATTAAAGTCCCTCCCTAACCCCTCTATTACGAATTCCTGAATCCGCCAATGAATAAGCAAACAACGATGTAATACCAATGTCGAATAGTGATTAAAACATGAGCATCAAATTTAGGGGATCTTATAAAAGTTGCTGCGCAATACACTATTAAAGTTAGATTTGTTGCAACTTGGATCCCAGAGAAAAAATTTTGGGAAGTGGGGCCTAAATAAGGGCATTTAGGACACCCCCATTATGGGACAATTTCATATTTTTGCTTAGCGTTACCTTAAATAAGGGGCCACCTTCAGGGCACACTCATTATTATGGTAAAAATTTTTCTGTAGGTGTCCCCTTTACTACTGTAATTGTCTTCATGCAGAGGGCGAGAAAAATACCCATACTGTCTTTTAGTCCGTAAAAATAAAAATAATACCATACATTGAAGAACAAATACAATATCAAAAATTCGATGATCAACGTACCATATTTTTTTTCAAACAGCAAATTTTGACCCAATTTGTGTTGCGCAAACTCAGAGTTGTAGCG